TCAGTCTTAATAGCTCTCCTGAACTGGTAGAGATCCCGGAGAGCGCGGTTTCAGCTGATTGGCAGGGAGCACATGGCCCACTGATCGGCTGAAGCCCTTTAAATCACTGCAGGAGCGGAGGGAGAGGGGTGGTCACGGCTTGGGGGGTGGGGCTTGGAGGCGGGGCTTCCCCTGCCAACCATCTGGCTGTCAGCTTAGAACCCCCAGAAGCGGGGAAACCCCTGCTGGGACCTGGGGGCTGGCAGCTCTACCATGAACCGCGGCTGCCGTACCAATCCTCCCCCCTTCAGATTCCCAGACATGAGAATGATAGAGTGGGTGGCACCGATGGCAGGCTTTGGGGGATATTCCCTGTGTGAAGAACTCCCTGCAAATGGAGAATCAGCACCGCAGACAAAGCCGGGGTGGGGGGATAAAATCGGGGAAAGGATAGACGCATGGGATATGATTACCTAGAATCATAGAGTTGGAAGGGACCTCCGGGAACATCTAGTCCAACCCTGCCAACAAGGCAGGAAATTCACAAATACCTCCCCCCACACACAACCCCGGTGACCCCTGCTCCATGCCCAGAAGATGGCAAAAAACCTCCAGGATCCCCAGCCAAAGTGGCCTGGAGAAAATTTGCTTCCGGACCCCAAGGTGGCGATTGACATTTCCCTGGGCGTGTAAGAAAGGGCCACGAGAACTAAGCCCTGAGGCAACCCTTCCTGCCCTCCCTTCTTCTGATCTGCCTAAATTCACATGATCGGCATTGCTGTCAGATGGCCATCTAGCCTCTGCTTGTAAACCTCTTCCAAAGAAGGAGAGCCCCCAATACATAAAATGGCTGCGCTTCTAAACCCTTTTTGTTATTGCTATTTGTCTTAAATCACATCTGTATGTACTAATTTAATTATTGAACTCTGAAATGACATTCTGTACCGAGTATACTGCGTTTGTTTGCTGCACTTCGGACTATGTGGTTCATACCTTGTTTAATGTTGACAACTTTACTATTATATTTGATGTTTGATCTGTTTAAAAGAAAATTTTTCAATAAAAGTTATATTGGGGGGGAAAACCAAAGAAGGAGAGCCCGCCACCTCCCGAGGAAGCCTGTTTCACTGAGGAACCGCTTCGGATTTAATTTCAACCCGTCGGTTCTGGTCCGACCTTCTGGGGCAACAGAAAACAACTCCGCTCCATCCTCTCTATGACAGCCCTTCAAGTACTTGAGGATGGTTATCGGATCGCCTCTCAGACGTCTCCTCTCCAGGCTAAATGGACCGAGTTCCTCCAACCTTTCCTCCTAGCACTTGGTCTCCAGACCCCTCGCCATCATCAGGGGATGTGATTACCTGAATTTTTCCATTAACTGGGGTTGCAAGAGGGGATTATGATTGCAGTCTTCAAATATCGGAAGGGCCGTCATGTAGAAGATGGAGTGGATCTACTCTCTCTTGCTCCGGATTGCAAGACTAGATCCAATGGGTGGAAATGACGAGGGAGTCGATACCGGCTATGTTATCAGGAGAAAATTCCTAACTGTAAGAGTGGTTGAGCAGTGGAATGGACTGCTTCGGGAGGTGGTGGATGCTCCTTCGCTGGACGTTTTCAAGCGGAGGCTGGACGACTATCTCTCGGGTATGTTGTAGGGCTCTCTTTCGGCTCTGCTCCCGCAGAGTGCAGGGGGTTGGACTAGATGACCTGCAAGGTCCCTTCCAACTCTAACATTCTATGATTCTGTGATTCTATGAAGCAGGCAGGGAATGTGCGGGAGACAGGCTTGTCCGCCACCCCCCCCCCAATATAGACTTGCGATGCTAAAACCCCTGTCCTGGATATAAGCCCTGTTGAATAAAATGGGACTTCTTTCCAAATAGAGCTGTTTGCTTCCACAGAGGTTTCTCTCGACCTTAGAATACAGGAAGAGAGAGAGAGAAGAGTGAGATCAGTGATAAGGAATAATCAGATCATCTCTCCGAGAAAAGAAAAGTGCTGAGGCAGGATGTGAGGTCTCTCGGCCTTCCTCTTAACTCGCAGTTAAAACGAAGCAACAGCCAGGAACGGAAGGCTTTGATGTGCAGGAGTACTAAGCGGGCACAAAGGAAAAACAAGCCCCACTCTGTTTCAGTGCAAAAGCAAATTCTGCTCTCTGCGCCCAAACAGACTTAACTCTGTGAGAAACAGTGTGGTGTAGCAGTTAGGGCCTCCGGCTCGGACGTGGGTGACCTGTGTTCGGATCTTCACTCTGACACGAAGATCATTGACAGGGGTGACATGATCGAGGTTTATAAGATTATGCATGGAATAAAAAGGTAAAGGTTCCCTTGCTCAAAAGCCAGTCGAATCCGACTCTAGGGTTGCGGTGCTCATCTCCGTTTCAAAACCGAAGAGCCAGCGCTGTCCGAAGACGTTTCCGTGGTCATGTGGCCGGCATGACTAAACACCAAGGTGCACGGAATGCTGTTACCTTCCCACCAAAGTGGTACCTATTTATCTACTTGCAGTTTCTTGCTTTCGAACGGCTAGGTTGGCAGGAGCTGGAACCAGAGACGGGAGCTCACTCCATCTTGCGGCACCTGGGTCTCGAACTGCTGAACTACTGACCTTCCACAGCCTGCAGTTCAGCGTCTTAACCACTTGAGCCACCGTAGCTCCTCCTATGCATGGGATAGAGCAGGTCAAAAAAAGAAGTCGTTTTCTCCCTTTCTCACAGTGCAAGAACTCGTGGGCACTCAATGACATTGCTGAGCAGTCGGGTTAGAATGGATAAAAGAAAGTCCTTCTTCACCCAAAGAGTGATTAACACATGGAACTCACTGCCACAGGAGGTGGTGGCGGCTACAAGCAGGGACGGGTTCAAGAGGGAATTGGATAAGCATATGGAGCAGAGGTCCATCAGTGGCTCTTAGCCACAAGGTATAGATAGCAACTCTGGGTCTGGGGCAAGGAATGCCCTGTATTCTTGGTGCTTGGGGGGGGGCAATAGTGGGAGGGCTTCTAGTGTCCTGGCCCCACTGCTGGACCTCCTGATGGCACCTGGTATTGTTGGCCACTGTGTGACACAGAGTGTTGGACTGGATGGGCCACTGGCCTGATCCAACATTGGCTTCTCTTATGTTCTTATGTAGCATTTGCTCCGTTGTTTTACCACACCAGCAACGGAACAGAAAAAGATATGGGCCACATTCAGATACCCCCAAGCCAACGCCATAGTGATGGCAGAGTTACCCCTGAATGGCCATCAGACGGCCATAAATCTAGGCAGACAGTTCCATAAAACCGAGAGGTCAGAGGAAGTGAAAGCAGCATGCAGTCTGGAGACTGCCGTAAAATCCGACAATTGATCAAAGTGAAGGCGGCCTGATGCAGAGGGGAATTTCCGTTCCAGCGTGGGTTTTGGTAAAACGGCGGAGTGAATGCTAGATGCAGATTGGGCAGCGTGCGTTTCCACCCTAACCCGTTTCACAGGGTTGCTGTGAACAACAACAAAAAAAAAAAACTGGCCGAGGGAGAGCTATGTACACTACCTGAAGTGGGGGGGAATGCTGTGAATGTTGTTTACCTGGATTTCAGTAAAGGCTTTGACAGGGTTCCCCATGATGTTCTGATGGGTCAACTAGAGGATATGCACACACCCCTCACTAGCAGTCTTCAAGCAGTGGCTGGACAAACACTTGTCAGGGATGCTCCAGGCCAGGGGTGTCAAACATGCGGCACGGGGGCCGGATCAGGCCCCCAAAGGGATTCCATCAGGCCCGCAGTGGAACTGGCTGTCTCCTGCTTGCAGTTCTGCTGCTGCTGCTGCTGCAGCATCATAGTTTGCTTCGCCAGACTCTCTTAATCACTCAGCCATTTCATGTTTTAACCTGGGGCCCAGACTCAGAACTCTGAGCGTGAGTCTTCTGTGGTGAATGTCAAGAAATGTCAATAAATTTGGTGTAGTGGTTAAGTGCGCGGACTCTAATCTGGGAGAACCGGGTTTGATTCCCCACTCCTCCACTTGCACCTGGCTGGATGACCTTGGGCAAGCTGTAGTTCTGATAAGAGCTGT